CAACAAAATATATATATTCTTGATCAGCGTAAAATTCGAAGACGATTTAGCCATGTCCGTCTGTCTGTCTGTGTATCTGTCTGTCTGTCTGTCTGTCTGTCTGTCTGTCTGTCCGTCTGTCTGTTGTAATTACGCTATCTTTCGAACGAATTGAGATAGAAGGCTAAAATTTTGCACACGTGTTCATTTTTTCAGTAGGCAGGTTAAGTTCGTAAATGGGTCATGTAGGTCCAAGTTTTCATATAGCCCCCATATAACGGTACCTCTCGATATTCGGTATTTTGATGATTTTAGCGACATTATTCACCGGAATTGTTTCAAATTTGGCATTTGAAGTTCGTAATGGATACTACAGCCTAAGACAGAAAATTATCTGTGCAGGTCCACGTCTTCGTATAGCCCCCATATAACGGTACCCCCCGATATTCGTATTTTGATGATTTTAGCGACATTATTTAACGGAACCGTTCCAAATTTGGTATTTGAAGTTCGTAATAGATACTGCAGCAGAAAACAGAAAATGGGCCATGTAGGTCCACGTCTTCGTATAGCCCCCATATACCGTACCCCCGATATTCGGTATTTTGATGATTTTAGCGACATTATTTAACGGAACCGTTCCAAATTTGGTATTTGAAGTTCGTAATAGATACTGCAGCAGAAAACAGAAAATGGACCATGTAGGTCCACGTCTTCGTATAGGCTCCATATACCGTACCCCCCGATATTCGGTATTTTGATGATTTTAGCGACATTATTTACCGGGATTGTTTTAAATTTCGCATTTGAAGTTTTTTTGGAAATTGCCAAATTTGTACCAAATGGTGGAGGGTATTAAAAGTTCGGCCCGGCCGAACTTACAGCTTTTTTACTTGTTTAAGTTTAAATTTGAAATTTGTGTACAACATGTGAGAATAATGTGCTAGCTTTTTACTATTATTTTTACATGTTTCCAATTCGAGTCAAGATTTGCATTTAAACTTATTTTTTTGGTGAAAATGGCAAGTGAAGAATTGTTCTACCTAAAATTTAATTAAGAGTCTCTGAACAAAATAAATTTGAACATACTGATATCATCAGTTTTTTGATAAAAAAAATCTTGTTTATTTTCGAAAAACTAAGCAATGGTCCTTCATTCTCTACAGTTTTTTTATGATTTTACTGTTCAATAGCCAGTCTGGGATATTTAAAATTTTAAGTGTATTCAATAATACTGGTTTGTAGATTACAATTCAGTCCCAAAATTTAAAGCAATGTGGCTACTTTGTATTGTAATCTTTCACAGCGCCACTCTACTAGCTAGCTCTACTTTCACAATATGCTGGATTTCCCCGTAATAACTTATTGTGTTGCTCAGAGTTACAGACCAAACTGTTTGACAGTGAAACATAACACCAAACGTGAGTGAGCTGTATTACCAGCATTGCCTAAATGATAATAGTTCAAAAATTACCTTTTTTAATGTACTCGTATTTTCTAATTTAATTGTGTTTTGCATTCTATATTAATCAATTCCTAAAATAACAAGTGCATTGTATTGTGGATATTTCTGCAGTCCAATGTGCTTATTAATTTTTCTGAAAACATATTTCTTCATTTTTCATGAAATCGACTTCATTAAATGTGATATGTTATAGAATAGTTTCAATTGGCAAATATCCTAAAATTTGTCACTAGATATCACCATTATATGTTGACATATAATGTGGTCCAAGCGACGATCAAATGTTTGTTTGAACTGATACATCCATTCATTTATTTATATCGATCGTTTTTTGATATTTTTGTCGTTGAAGAATGTGTTTACATTAACTAACAACTGGATTTCTGTGACATGGATATGAGAATTTGGGGGGAAACGTTGTTGCAGAGTTTCATGACAAATTGACAAATATTTTGGAAAACGTCTTTAAAATGTCTCAAAAAGTTTGTAGGTCTTGCAGCCTCTATTACAAGGATAAAAGTGAACTTGTGGAACATATGAAAAAGCATTGTATGTTTTGAGATATTTTATGTGAAAGTGTAAACGATTTAGAATTGCACTAAGAGAGCCATCATGAAGATGAGCATGTAATGAAACAAAGTCGTGATCAACTACAAGAAAAACTAAAGCAGCAGCATGGAAATCATTCAGCTGTGAAGGTGGAAAGGTTTTGTGATGATTGAGATACAATTTTGAATAATATACGATCACACGTACGTAGCGAAGAACATAGATCCACCGTGAGAAAAAAATTTGAATTCTGACATAAAAATTATTAAAAGTGCATTTAACAAAAATATACTCAGCTATGAGGTACAAAAAAAAAAATAAAGACATTTTCTTCATGCATCAAAGAATCAACAATTAAATATTAAAAAATGAGTTAAACGGCAAAACGGCCATAAACTTTTATATGGAACTCCAAGGGCTATATTTGAAACCAAACAGTGATAAAGATGGACCTTCAACTTCCAAAGAGTTAACGATTGAAAACATATTTAACCATATTTCAAAAACAACACTATTAACCATGGGAGAAGATATAGAAGAGGTAATTTTCAATTGGGCCCTGGAGAAACTGTTGAAACTTGAGATAAATGTGTTGGAACATATTAATTATTATTATATTTATTAAGTATTTCAGACATTTGGTTTGACTTTAATTTCCTCTAAAATTTTAGGTCTTGTCGGTTTGACAACTTCATAATGAATGTATCTTGGTATTTGTGTATGATTGTATTTAATGTAGATAATCATGATTACATTGGTCTGATTTATTCTTCTATAAAATGTATAAAGCGACTTTCTTCATCTACTTACTTTATCTCCAGACGACCGATTTCTTTAACGTTCACTGGTAAATAAATGAGATTCATCGTTCTCTCCACCAATTTATATCCTGATTGAAGTATGTTTTTTCCCCAGATTCTAACATTTTTCGGTGAAACCAAACAGCTTGCCTATAGACTTTCCTTTGTCAAAGTAAATAGGATCATGAGAAGACATGATTTCTACTTTTATTATTATTGTTATTATTGTTATTCGCCTTTATGTCAATGGATCTATTCTCGTGGATAGTTATATATCCCGTTTCCAAGTAATTCGTACAATATATTAAGAATATACGACATGATTCTCATTTGTCCATGAATTATGTTTGTCTGAAAATCCAAGCCACTTAACCAGGACCTTATTACCTTTTGTTTTTACATCTTCTCAACTAAATACGTATTGGGATATATTGTAGGTCAAAAGTTATTTTTGTTGAAACATCCTTGGAAAGAATTCCTTCATAGTCTTCTAATAAATAAGTAGTAGGGTTTGTAATTGTTATTGCTCTTATCTTGTATATTTCCGTTGTCCAATTTGGCGTGTATCCCTTTTCAAATTGACGTTTGTATTTGCTAATGCGTACATGATCACCCACACAAAGGATATCCTAAAAGTTTTTAAGTGGTTAAAAGCAGATTACAACAATGCTTTCTCAATCGACAAATTTACTTGAATATGGGTATTGTTCGATGACGTGTTTCATTGTATTGTTTAACCAAATCTTTATAAAAATCAATCTATAGATAATTTCCATTATAACTGAACCCCTTCCATATCAGCGCACTGAACGTACTATTAAAACTTTCAACAAATCAAACTTTCAATAAACTATATGTGGAGTAGCGGTTTATGAAATATTTATGCATAAGATTTTCAAAATATTTCTTGAGAAATTTTTTCCATCATCGGTTTGCAAATTTTTTCAAAAGCCATATAATCATCCGATGCCGATGACGTTTTTGTTTTAAGGGCTTTTCACTATGCGAATTTCGAAAATGTATCGATGACAGTTAACAAAAATCGGTACCCCTTGTTTGCTTTTGAGTAACTGCCCATTTCAACTAAATCTGCTTGGCAGAGATCATCAATACCGTTTGTAAGAACCCTTCGTCTTGGAAAGTTTTTTCGTGCTTGATGATGAAGTCCATTTACCAAATCCCGCTTTTCTATTATTTTATTCGGTATGATATATTAATTCTGGTGAGTTGAATGGAGCTTGCGATAAGGTATATATATATATATATATATATTATATATATATATATATATATATATATATATATATATATATATATATATATATATATATATATATATATATATATATATATATATATATATATATATATATATATATATATATATATATATATATATATATATATATATGTATATATATTGTATCATACCATATGTTCGTATGCTTGGTTGACCGCATCCGCACCTTTTCGCAAGCTCCATTCAACTCACCAGCCTTAGTATATCATACCGAATAAAATAATAGAAAAGCGGGATTTGGTAAATGGACTTCATCATCAAGGACTAAAAAACTTTCCAATACGAAGGGTTCTTACAAACTTTATTGATGTTGGAGTATTTATAAAATTTTACATATGCCCAATAAAAACTTTAAACAAAGATGTCCATAATTGTATGTATAAAATCGTTGATCTCTTTTCTAATTCTATGAAATAGTTTGTAATAGCAAGTAGCGTAAAACTTTTACTGGAGTTTAAAGATTACCAAAACTGTCGTAATAGTCGATATTATTATTGTTTTCATTATATGCCACCCAATGAGTACCAGGTCCACTGCTAACAGGTAAATTATCACGCATATAAACACCTCTGAAGTGAGGTATATCTTTTTTCCCGACATCCCGATAAGCACACTACTATTGGTATTTTATCGTATATGTGCCTATAGGTTAGAAATAGGAATCCACTAATTGTCGTTAAGATACAAAATTAATTCCCGAATTCCTCCGCTAAAAATGTTTGTGTTCCAAGTGGAGACAAATATAATAGCATACCTACGCAATTATTAAATTAGTATAACATAACAGGTATTTTTTTATTTAAATCGGTGAAAATATGTGGAGAACACTGAAACTGCATAGAACATTCTATATATTATGTTCTGTGTTATTTATATACAGATTGGCTTGTGTTGTCAGTTTAAATACCTTTATTGGCAAATTGGATTCTCTTGACATTTCAGTAATGGTTTCTTCACTAGGAGAATTGTTTATATCGAAATGAGACCTTAAAATTTTCAGCTGGTCGTTTGTTATCCTTGTACGTGCACGTTTATGGCTGCTATATACCTGTTAAAATATATAATTTAAATATGTTATTAATGAAAAAATTAACAGAAAATATAACTTTGGCGTGAAGAAAATAACGAAAATTGATTTTTTGATTATTGATTATGAACACCAAGTACTTTTGTACTTGCAGTATATATATGTTAAAGATTTGTTACTAATTTGAATAAAAATCTGCTGTAACGTGATATTTTGGGTGTATGAGGGTATGACATTTATATACATAGATTAAAATTAATAACCTTTCGGTTTGTAGCTCTACTTCAAAGCAGAGTCAAGTTTGACTTTATGAGAATGTCATTCCGCTTGAAATCCCCTAACCCTACTGTCATCGTTTAGGCCCTACACAATCGTAATCAAACTATGAGAAAATGAGATAGAAGACTATAATTTATGCTTGCAAAATTATAGTCTTCTATCTCATTTTCTCATAGTTTGATTACGATTGTGTAGGGCCTAAACGATGACAGTAGGGTTAGGGGATTTCAAGCGGAATGACATTCTCATAAAGTCAAACTTGACTCTGCTTTGAAGTAGAGCTACAAACCGAAAGGTTATTAATTTTAATCTATGTATATAAATGTCATACCCTCATACACCCAAAATATCACGTTACAGCAGTATTTTTTTAGTAAGCTGTTATGGAAATGGGCCAAGTCGGTCTAAGTTTTGCTATAGCCCCCATATAACGGTACCTTCTACGGTAATTTTCGGCACTGAAGTAGAATTTTGTGTTCTATAATAATATAAAAACATTGATTCCAAAAGGGGAATTTTATTTTTTCAACTAATGTCTGTTTTATGTGATTTCAACCCTCTGCACGCCGGTTTTTTTATATTTTAATGAGGGTGGCGGAAATATCTACCTAATTCGCCAAAGATTAGGTGATGCCACAAACCCCGAAATATTGGTTCTAGGCTCACGATTTTAAATATTTGTCTGCCATTTTCGTAGCAATTGCAAGAAAAATAAGTATGCTGAACAGGCTATAAGCTTTATTGTCCCATATAGCGATGCATCTCGATTTTCGGTATTTTGGTTGTTTCTGCCAAAGTTTACTAGCACTTGACAATTTGGAGGTATTTTGGAAGTTTCTGCACCAATTTTCCACAACATTAGTTAAAACTGCACACTTGGCGTTCTTGGTAGGTCTGTTCTCTCCTTGGAAAAATATTCGATTCAGGTCCACTATTTGATATAGACCTCCTATAACAGTACCTACCGGCTTTCAGTATTTTGATGGGTTTTTACATAATTTTCAACCAAAATAGCTTAAACTTGACAATTTTGAGTTATTTTAGAGGTTTCTGACACAACACAAATTGGCTCAAACTTGACAATTGGCGTTTTCGGTATGTCCGTTCTCTCTTTGCAAAATTTTGAGGCGTTTTGGCACAATTTCCTACCAAATCTTTACAATTGGCGTTCTCTGTAGATCTGTTCTCCCCTTGCAAAAATGTTCGAGTCAGGTCCATTAGTATGTATAGCCTGTATAACGGCACTTCCCGGTTTTCTGTATTTTAAGGGATGTTCCCACGATTTACAACCATGTGAGGTGAACCTTGAAAATTTAAAGGTATTTTGCAGGTTTCTGCCACCATTTCCAAGCAAATTAGCTAAAACTTGACGATTGGCATTCCGGTAGGTCTGCTACCTCCTTCCAAAAAAGTTCGATTATAACAATACCTCCCGGTTTTCGGTATTTTAAGGGGTTTTGCCACAATTACCAAACAAGTTAGCTAAAACTTGACAATTAGCGTTCTCGGTAGGTCTGTTTCCTCCTTGCAAAAATGTTTGCTTCAGGTCCACTAAAAGGTATAGACCCCATATAAAGGTACCTCCCTGTTTTCCGTATTTTGAGGTTTTTTGTCACAATTACCAACCAAATTAGCTAAAACTTGACAATGTGAAGGTATTTTGGATATAAAATTTTGAATATATACGTATATATTATATATATTTTTGGTATACCATTCTGCCTGCCCGTGTGTGGTAACGTGTTTACCTACTTAAATTGTACTCGGATGCGTTATTGACATGATGGACTTGGGTCGTTTGGTTGCTTTATCACAATTTTAATCTGACTTTGCTTAAAATTTGGAGTTTTTGTTCCTAGTAATTGTGAAACTTTCTCGCATTGAAATGTCTATACAGAAGCAAGTTTGGGTATAGCCTTCATATAACGGTATCTCCAGCTATTCGGTATTTTAATGCATTGTGCCACATTTGTGGGGCTCTTATTGAGCAACTCGTACTTTTATTCGTTGCTCTTAACGATTATTAAAGCATTGTCTTTATGAAGAACTCTTTTTTTTTGTGTTGTAGGCCAGGACGTTTTTCTCGAATTTGTATATTTAATTGATCCAAAAATTTGCAATAGTACTCTAAATTTATTGTTTTACCCTTTTGCAGAAAGTCAATCAATAAAATACCTTTGAAGTCCCAAAATCCGTAGCCATAACCTTACCAGCCAATTGAATTATTTTTTGCCTACATTGGGGCCCTTCCTCCTCTGGAGTACAGTGGTGTATCCATGTCTCATCAAGAGTTATAAAACGACGCTTAAAATCCATTTTATTTCACTTAAAAATGTTAACCAATGCGGCAATGCTAAGTTAAATGAACTCGATCATTCGAGAAGCGCCTTTTTTTGAACACCTGTTTACATATAAAAGAAGTTGCCAGATCGAAGCAAAATTTAACATGTGTTCATAACTGAGTTCGGTATGGTTGGCCGGACATGTATCGCACGCTGGGCAGACGTTCCGCACGTCTTCATCAATCCGTGCCCAATGCGAATTGAGACGCCTGCACCATCTTGAACCAAGTGGGACCAAAACTAAGCTGATTTGCCAAGGAAGCCGACGTTCTTCACCTGTAGTGGATAGAGGTGGAATCCGAGTATGGCATTAAATGTTTAAGTGGCGATTGTAGCAGTATGAATGGTATTCGGACCTACTTGATAGGTTTCCTGATATAGAGGCCCTATCCTACCTCTCTCTTTAGATCATGCAGGTTCTTCCTGACTGGCCTGGCGGGGGCTTCTGTACTGCATATAATGATAACGATGAAACGATATTATGGTGCGGGCGTAAGGAAAGATTCTTCGGCTCTTCATGTAAATGGTCCACAGGAACCATGATCAGATAGCCTGCTGAAGTTCTCTAGGCGCCATTCTGTCAGGTCTGAATAATTTTCCATAGCGTTGCAGCCGTATTCGCAGTCCACACTGAGCCGGCCAGAATTGTCTTCAAATTTGATGTCCGCTTTAGTAAACAAAACCCAGCGGACTTCCAGGCTGATTGCATCTCCTGAATAGAACGTAAGACTAAAGGAATAGAATGTGACCCAGCGAGTATATCGTCATGTAGTACATGCAATTTCGTAGAATTTCCTTTCATTCTCAGCAGTACTCGAATCGATATATATATATATATATATATATATATATATATATATATATATATATATATATATATATATATATATATATATACATATATATATATATATATATATATATATATATATATATATATATATATATATATATATATATATATATATATATATATATATATATGCGAATGTATCTTGCCCTCCACCATACTATAAAGGCTATATTAACTTTCTCATTCAGATAGTCATATATAAGTAGATTAAAGATGTCCGCCTGTCTGTATGTCTATCTGTTGCAATCACGCTACCTTTCGACCATATAGGTCCACACTTTCATATAGCCTCCATATAACGGTACCTCCCGATATTCGGTATATTGAGTTTTTCAGCGGCATTATTCACCGGAATTATTTCAAATTTGGTATTTGAAGTTTGTAGTGGATACTACAGTCTAAGACAGCTAAATTTCTCTTAGTTTAAGTTGCGAATTTGAATATGTCAATGGCTTATGACAAAAAATGTCTATGTCGTCGTATAGATATGTTCGGTATTTTTAAGATTTTAACATAAATTTTAACGGATTTTATTTTTTTTGCAAATTTCCAATTATTCAAAGTTCGGCTCGGCCGAAGTTACTACTTTTTAATTTTTTTTTCTGCGATTCAGCTTCATTGGGCCTTTAGTTCTATCATATTCAGTCATCGTTCCCAAGTAATATTTAAGGGGTCCACAATCGGATATTTTGAATTATGCACGTAGATCCGATTTTACCTTCTCTATTGCTTTGAAATCATTTCTTGCAATCAATATATCGTCCGAATTTCCCAAAGCAAAACTGGAGCAAGAAATCATTAAATTTTTCGTTCCAGCATCTTCGACTTTGTTTAAGTCCATAAAGCGACCTTCGTAACTTGCATACTTGGTTTTCGGGAGCGTTTAATCTGCCTGAAGCTTCCATGTAAATACTTCTTTTAAATCCCTGTAAAGAAATGCAGTTTTTACATCGAGCTGGTGCAAATGTAATTGTATCTTAAGGTTCAACGGTAATATTATCCGAATTTTATTAAATTTCGCCACCGGTGAATAGGGATCTTCCTAGCCCCTGCAAATATTTTTCTGACAAAAAGACACCTACCGAATTGTAGCACAGTTTAAGCCTAACATGTCAAAACTAAGAGGTTTGGATGTCTGGGATGCTAAATAGAAAAGAAAAAACTGGATTCAAAATCACAAGAAATGGTAATGATGGGTTATACGTGTAATGGATACAGATTGTTGAATCCTAAGACTCGCAACATAGTTATTGCAGGAGATGTTCGTTTTGTCGGAGATTGTTTTCCCTATTTGCAAAAGATCCCGCAGCAACGAGCAAGGGTGGCAATGCTTGGAGAATTTCGATCCTGCTGAACATTTCAGTAATAATGAAAGTAATTCAGATTATGAATTGGTTTCTGGTTTCGATTCTGCCGATAAAGAAACTACTAATAACGAAAATAAAGCCTAGGCTATGCAGTCTAATCCACCAAACTCTGAAGCTGAAGTGAAAGATTAAAGCTGAAATTAATAGGTTCTATAACAGGAAACTGCAATTTCCCATTGT